TTTTTATTATTATTATTATTATTATTATTATTATTATTATTATCCTGCTTCTTTTTTTACTTTCCTCTTAGCCTTATATTTCTTCCTTTGCTTCTTCTGCTTCTTTATCCTTGCCGCTAACATGTCTCTTCAATAGGTGTACAATCTCTCCGAGGAAGAGCTTGAAGCACAGCTTTCTCTGAAGCTGGCCCGCTTTGCCAGACTCCTCCAGCTGGATAGTGAGGAGGCTTTGCTCGTCAATCTTTACCAAAGTCAAGCTCCGAAAGTCAACCCTGCCGAACAAGAGCGGGCTGAGCCGGCGTGCCAACGACCTGAGGATCAGGAGACCTTGTCGAGTGGTGATGGCCGCCCGACGGCCCTGGGGACAAGATCTGCCTTTGGGCCCTGCCCGGGTGGAAACGAGCCCGAAAAGTTGTCCTCTTTGCCCATAGCCGGAGCGGAGCTCCAACCGAATCCCAGTTATTTACTTTCAAGCATCGCAAATGTCTTGCTCGCCCAACTGCCTCAGTTCGCGGCCAAATTGAATTACAATGAGCCACGATCGCAGCACCCGCCGCAACACCAGCAACATCGACAACAACCGCGTCAGCGCCAGCAACAGCCCGCCCCTGCCGGAATCGAGTCGAGCCCTCGTCGAGGGCTACGCTCCGCAACCTCCGACCTCAGTTCACCAACTGCCGGGCTGGTGACGTGTGAAGCCTTGAACGGTCGTGCCAAGGCCAGCGACGAGGTGTTCCTCAGTCCGGCAGACGAGCCCTGCGGCCCAAACGAGTCGACCACTTCAGAGTCCGCAGAGATGATGCCTCTTGCCTACTGGACCAGGTATGCCCTTCGATACTAGACTCATCGCACCGAGAGGTACCCATTCGAAGCATTCGACATTTTTCCTTTCATAAAGGTTGTTTGACCTTGCTTTCGCAACATGGCCATATTGGTAGGAAGACTTAGAGGAGTCCATTGTATGCATCATCATTTACAAAGTTGAACCGTAGACGTGGTACATTCTCAAACGTTTCGCCGGCATCATCAGTGAGTACCGCCAGCCTTAGCAACATACAATAACTCGTCAAAGAGACAAGTTAAGCCCATCCTTTGACCAAA